AATATATAGTAATATTGATTAGACATATTTTAAGAAGGGTATATTATATAGTTTTGGCATTTTATCTCTTGTGTCAATTTGGTCATTGTAATTTCAATTAGTTTGATTTTGACCCTTAATTTTAGATTTTGTGTTAAGGGTAAATTACAAATATACCTCCTGAGATTTGCTTAAAATATAGATTGCCTCCTGTGGTTTGAAAAATTACAAATATCCCCTTATTAAAATTTTTTATTTAACAGAATTAACTAAAAAAGTGAAATTCATAATTGTTTTCCTATATAATAATAAAATTACAAACTGTTAATTGATTTGATAATTTATTAATAAAATGGTGATTTGTTATGAAATTAGAAACCTTAGGGAGTGGAATGTAATTTTCAAAACCACAGGAGGTGATTCGTATTTTAATTAAATCTCAGGAAATGTATTTGTAATTTACCCTTGTGTTAATTTAGTCAAATTGATATTGCTGGTTAAGATTTTTGAAAGAAAATAGGCATTGATTGGTTGAGGCTAACTTACTGAATTGAATAAGTTTATAATTTTGTCTATAAAAGTATAACAGATGCCATTCATGTGTGTATTTTAAATATATAAAAAAAAAAACATTAGTAATTATAGCAATTGGACAAAATTGAGACAATATTATAACTCTAGAGTCAAAATTGAATAAATTAAACAATAATGATTGAGACTCTCATGTTTTAGAGACCCCCACAACCCCCTTTGAATCTCCATCATTGATGGTGTGAGCCCCACACATACATGAGTGGGTTTCATACATACATCAATGGTGGAGATCCAAAAAAGGTTGTGGGGGTCTCAAGAATTTTTCTAAATCTAAATTGCAAGGACAAAAATAATACAGGAGCTAAAATATGGGGACTACGAATGTAATTTATCATAGGGCTGAGCAAGTGATCCGTGAAATTCGTAATCCGATCCAGTCCAGTCCAATCCGATAGGTTTGGATTGATTTTTTGAATCCGTAGTTCGGTTCCGGATTGAAGAATTAAAAATCCGTAGTTTACGGATTGGTTCCGAATTGAACCCCACAGTTCCGGATTGGAACCGATCCGAACCGTATACAAATAGTCTATATTTTTATTATACATCATCCCCCATAGTATCTTCTCTTAATTCTATATAAAATCTAAACTCAAACCTAAAACTTTATAATATCTTCTTTTATTACTTTGTTTGTTGGTTTTTAGTTTTAATTTGTAATGGTTTAAATACTTATAGTGAAACCAATTTTCTTATGGTTGTTTAAATTTTAGAACAGTATGCCGCTATTATAGAAAAATATGTTGCTATTGTAGAACTAATATAACGCTATGTTTATATTTTTATAAAATTAAAGTGTTATAAATATATTTTTGTTATTTAATTATGTGAATCCGTGGTCCTAAACCGATCCAATCCGTATTTAAATGGATTGGTTCGGATTGGTTCCATGATTTAAACGGATTGGATTGGTTCCAATTTTTTAGGAACCGTAGATAACGGATTGGTCCTGATTTTATCCAAATTCAGTCCAATTCGGACGATGCTCACCCCTAATTTATCATTTTAAGAATAAATACATAATTTATTAATTAATTTAAAAATTGTTAATAAATATACGAAACAAATATGTATATATTTCATATTTTTGATATAATTTTTTAAAAAAATATATTTACTAATTAAAAATTAAATAAATAGGTGAGTTTACTAACTTATGGATTGGACATGAATTAGATGATTCTCCAAGGACTATACTTAAATCAAGAATTATTAGCCAAAAAAATCGACTCTAAGTAAATTTTCTTGATTGCTTTTTAGTATTTAATCCAATATTATAACTCCCAAATTAGCTTATATCAATCACAAACTAATAAACTATAATATAATTTAAATTTATTAGGACTATAATATGACTTACAATTTAAGGTGGCTCTATCTTAGATAATTTTTTCATATTTAAACATATATAACTATTCATTTAATTGTATTAAAATAAATAAATATATATATATATAAATATTTAAACTAAGTTCAAAAAAGTTCAAAATTTCTAACAAGTATGCATAAAATATGTTCATATTTTTTATTTTTATTATAAAAAATACTTATAAATATTTATTTACTAAATTAATAAATAAATAGGTCAAATGATTCATATAAGTTGGAAATATATCAAGATAATTTTTAATAACTAGGTAAAAGACAAATTAGCGTAAATCTAATGTTAAGCTCAAATTTTCACAAGTGAATCCTAATTCATTTTTACATAAACCTTATAACATAAGACAAATTATAATTTTGATGCTAGATAAATTGTTAGACTTTACAAAATATGAAAAAATTAATATGTTGACAAGTATAATTTACCACTATCATATGATAAATTAAATTTACGAAACTTATAAGATGAAATGTATTTACATTTGACCATAAATATAATTTTTGTAATTTATTTTTAATTTTTACCAATTAAATTATGACATATATTTGTTATTAAGAATTTATAGCACATAATTAATGACATAGGAATAAAAAAAAAAAAACTTATATGTAACTGTGATAAAAATAAATAAGGTTGCATTTGGTAGAAATTTAGAATTATGATTTGAAAATAGAATTGTATTTTGAGTTTGTGAGTTTTGAATTACGATTTGAGTGTGAAAAATTTGTTTGGTTATGAGTTTTGAAAAGAGTTTTTAATTGAGTGATGTGACATATGATATTTGATTTAAAAATTTACAACTCATAGCCAAACACACAACTCAAAATTCTATTCAAAACTCATAATTTTTTTAAAAAAAATTTCCAAAATATTTTTTATTTAAAATATAAAAATAACAGGTGCCAAAAAAAAAACACGAATACTCTTTCGATCAACTAGCCGGACGGCCGGAATAATGACTGGGTAGACGTGTTTTGAAAAGTAAATGTGGAATCAATTTTTGAAAATTATAAACAAACAAACAGAACACTCAAATTATGTTGTTATAAACAAACAAACAGAACACTCAAATTATGTTGTAGAATCATGTTTAAAAAGCTCCACCAAACACAACCTAAAATTTAATTAATTCTAAATATTTTCGTTTTTATTAAATATTATAGATAAATTTTTTAGATTATTATTTAATTTTAAAAATAAATTTTTAATTATTTATTTATACCTGTGCATGAGTAATTATACTAACTTTAAATAAACATAAGAAGTGTATTTACGATTTAGTCAAGTTTGATGATTTTCCCAACCCAATAGCCCACCAAAATGGGCCTACCAATATAGCCCACCAAGCTAGGCCGCGTCACCCAAAATTCCCCCAAATTTGTGGTCGAATTGTGTCCAGTCCAACTTAAATCACCTTCTGGCCCAAATAAAAATCGAACGCGTTCAAATCATTGCTTGAAACAGCATTACACTTAAAAAATTTAATATCATAATATTAAGTTATTTAAGTAATAACTAATTAATGCTCCCAAGCATTTTTCGCGTTCAAATCATTGCTTGAAACAGCATTACACTTAAAAAATTTAATATCATAATAAAGTTATTTAAGTAATAAATATATTAATCTTGAATTTAAAGTTTATTTAGGCTGTGTATAATATATATATATATATATATTATTTTAATATATATAACATTGCACGTGGTACGAAGAGAAGAAAATTTGAGGTCTTCACTCGATTTGAATCTATCATCAACGTTTTAAAGCTGTAAAGAAGAAGGCGGGAAACAGAAGAGAATTCTCCAAATCCATGGCAGGAATTGATCCACAGAAGCAGCTTTTAACCTCAATTCGCGATTTCGCCACCGAGAAATCTTGAACTTGAAGATGCCAAGCGTCTCAAAGAAACTACCGAGCACGAACTTAAGGGTTACGATGTTGAATTGGCTGCGAACGAAGCTTTTTTCCAAACTCTATCTACAGGTTTTGTTCTCTCAAATTCATATGATCGATCGATCGCTCGCTCAAATTTATCGGAACCAAACTCAGAATTTGTCAAAATATGATTAGGTTTCAGTTGATTTATTCACAATTTGACTAGTTTTGATTGAATTTCTTCAAGTGATTTATGTTGAAATAACAATAATCCCATGCTAGGAATTCTCTATTTGCTAGATCTGATTTAGACTGAGGTATCTTACCCTCGTTGTCTATTGTTTCTCTTCGACTTCATTATATGATTGGAAACGACACATAATTACTAGATAGAAGGAAATATATTGTTCTTTGGCAAATATCAGCCCATACTTTATGGCATGGTCCTGATGATTACTGTAGTTCTAGTGAATACACCAAATTAATACAAGACAGGTTAAAATAATATAAGGATTTTGTGCAGTATATATGAAAAAGCTCAAAGCATTGTGAGGTGCATTTTTCCTGGACCGATGCCCCTATTATTAACAGGCTGGTTGTAGTATAATGCGTGCCATGGTAGTTACTAATTTGGAGCCCATTTACTTTCTGATGAAGGAAATTTCAAGAGAAAATAGCTTGTGCATTACATAAAAATGGTTAGATCTTTATGATACTTGAGGTAACCTTACTTGTCTAGAACTTTTTTTGTTTCTATTCTCGTTGTTGTTGTTGTTGTTGTTGTTGTTGAGTTTTAATGCATTACTCATCTTCTGTTGAGCTCATGTCTCCTGGGAATTTATAAAAATGCTTAGAACTTTACTATACTTGAGGTAATCACATTGTAATATTAAATAAATGATAGGCACATTTGCCTTATTATCAATTGTACTTTCTAGGATTTGGAGTGGGTTACAAATGTCTAATTAATTTGAATTTTTTCATTGATGATCTTTTGAACAAACCCTATATTATGAATGGTTCGGATAATTAAAATAAATTTGAGACACGCCTTAAAAAACTCACAACACGGTGTTGTGCTTATAAGGGAAAGCACCCACCCCAAATCCTTCCAACTATAAATCCAACTTAAATATTCAAGTCACAAGCAAAAAAAGAGGGCCAGACATTAATGGGAAAGGGAGAAGATTTCAAATTTATGCTCCACAGGCCTGCTTTCAAGAGTACAAGTTATAACTAGTTTAATGCCATTTGAAACATCGATCTCCTGTTTGATTTACAGCTTTTGCTCGTGACTTGGCAATGCTTCTATATCCTCCGTAATCAATGAGAGCAACGTAGACGTGGCCTCTTCTTTACCCTTGCCCTGCCCCTGTTGTTACAATGATTATACATTAAGAACTGTTCACTGAAATTGTGTCAATTAGAAGGAGAGCACAAACTGAATGTCTTATAAAATTCTGATATGATCGTACGGTGCTTACAGTTTGGTTGGGAGGATTTATGGTGGTAATAATTGGTTGGAAAGGAATGACCCTTGGATTTGTTGACTTCACAACTTCAATTTGTGTCGAGAAAAGAGCAGAGACAGGCCGATGATCTGAGAACTTACTCTCACCTCGAAAATAGGAAAGTTGCTTCACTCCTTTACCATACCACAAAATCCTGTCACACCTGCCGCCACCAACAATATCTCATCTTATTCCTATTTTCATGGTGCTATGAAGTAAAAATCTACAACAAGATAGAGAAATATTAGTTCATTCTACCATGTGGGAATGAAGTACACCCTAAGAAACCCCCAAATGCAAAAGTCAAGTGAGCTGTAGATTTAGGCCCTAGGCTAGTCCTAAAATTTTTATGTAGAACACAGCCCAAAGCAGGTGATATGATAGTAATAAGCATCATTTACAAAGATCACTGTTGAGTAACTATACCATGCTGGAGTTCGTTGCTTTTCTCCTGCTCTATTTGAAAGACCACCCGAGTAGTGATTGCAATTTGATGAAGAATACTTGTAGGTAGGAGCAAACTCGAGGTTTCCTTCTTTCCAACCTTGGAATACTCCACCATCGTATAGTTCCTTTCGTAGCTGATCAAACTCTTGAAGTGCACTCCAGTCTTGTTTCTTTATCAGTTGCCTGGCTAAGTTGTCTTCCAAACATAGCCTATAGTTTAGATCCCCAAACCAGAATATCCTACTGTTGTACAACATATTAGATTCATCAGTAAAGAGCAAATTTCAACCTATTTACTAAAAAATCCACCCACTTTTATTCTTCTTTTATTTAGGTCTGGTCATCCCAAATCCTTGTTATATTATGAATCTGGGTTAAAAGTTTTGTTATATTATGGAATGATTTAGAATCTACCAAAAAAAAAAATTGCTCTTATTTTTGTTTATATAACGTATAGGTGTTGGAAGGGAAACTTACTCATGTCCTAAGATGGTGAGAGGATGAAAATTATTGCCGTCTTGAGGGAGTCGAGGGAAAGAAGTTCGCCTAAAAATCTCTGACACTTGGTAATTCCTTCGCCCTTCATCCCCTTTCTTCTCACCAGAAGCCAAGTGGGCAGCAACGAAGCAAAAACTAGTTCCTTCAATTGACATGCTTACTGTAACTGATCCTTTGTTTCCCAAATAACCCATGATACCACAAGCCACCGAACAAACTTTCACACTTGACACGCAATACCTCGTAAGCAATTCCCTCTTCATCCACACTGTTACGAAGACTCCAACCATCTTCTTGCTTGCCATGAGCTTGTATCTACTCTGTAGGAACCTTGGCTGACTTCTTATTGGAGTCGTAGCTTGGCTGCTAACACTTAATCTTCTTTCGGTGTCAGAAACTGCAGGATATTGATGATCGTCGCTCGTTATTGGATTCAACAGAGGTGTTAACCAAGGGCACCCGTATTTGTCTTCGAGAGTTTTCCCAATCAGCAGGTTCCAGTTTGTTGCTTCTGTTGGGTCTTCTGCTCCAATTACATTTTTAGCTATTAAGGGAACAATCTCTTGAAAACTGCAAAAAACAAAACAAGTTTTGCAGCTGTTGAATAACATTTCTTTGATTCATCTAGGCAAACAAAGAGATTATGGACCTTAATTTTACATACCCAAGAACATAAATGTCAGCTGCGTCTTTTAGATTTAGCCATTCATCCACATCTACAGCCAAACTCCCTACCGGAGATCTTCCAGCAACATTCCAAGTACCCACAAAGACTCTGGAATACACGATATATATTGTAACTACTCATAAACCAAAACATTTGTCTAGATTGTCTAATCTTTTTGACAAAGATATGCTGAGAAGTTAGATCTCACCTTAATTCATGGTTTGATACGTATGGATCATCGTCCATTGGCATATCAAAAACATCGTCCAAGTCATTGTCACCTTCATCTTCAGCCCAATCTGTAACCAAATTATTAGTTTTTTTTTTTTTAAAAAAAAAAACAAGAATTGGAAAAGAGGGAATATGAGATTAGTTATGAAACCTGAAACTTCACCCAGAAAAAATGGGTCAGGTCTCTTGTACTTCCTCTTAAACCACTGCTGGAACCTCCTAGTTATCGGCTTTTGGTTCTCGTTATCCATAGTTGATCAGAAAGAAAAGATACATCCCATGCTACAACACTATAGAGCAATGAATTAGATAAATTCTATGAGAGTTGAACCTCGTATAGACGAAAGTTGTATGTCTCCAACAACCATGGCTCCAATGCTCTGAACGCTGGTTTTGCTGGAAAGGTTCATTGCGTTGATCGCCAAAGGGTAGACGAAAAGATGAGATTGTAGCAAAAAGACTAGCACAAAAAGCTTCACAAATTATAGTTTACACGATAATCCCAAGAGAGAGAGAGAGAGAGAGAGAGAGAGGTCAAAAGTGCCATGTTTTCATGGAGTAATTAAATAACTTGTTAGACTAGTTTGGAGAACAAAAAAGTGGAAGTTGGTTCCATCATTTAGTTGATCATTGGTGGTGTTTATCACGTATTTCTTGTGTAGATTTTACAGGACGTTGTTATTTTCACTATCACACATCTAAAAGCCAAAACAATGATATAGACTAGAAAAAAAATTGATTAAGGGTATATATCGAAGGATGAGAAAAATAGTAGAAATTCATAATTTAAGTATTGTAATTTTGTAAAAATTTAATTTATTGGTGTCATGAGTTGTTTGGGAACTACATAAAGTAACCTAAAAGTTAAAAAATGAAAAATGTTATAGATCTTAAATAATTTATGAAATTTTTTATCAAACCTTTCATATAAGTGTGGTCCCAGAGGTTTGGTAAAAAATTTGATCGATTATTTAGAACCTCTAACATAACTCTATAATAATTAAATATTTTTATCATTTTATCTTACTATCAAGATAATCGTCAGTATTGCATTAGAGATAATAGTAGTCAAACTCATTACATTAATGTTATATGACAAATAAAATGGTTACATATAGGCCTACTTTGATAAGTTGGTTAAAAGTTAGTTTTTTTTGACTTTTTAATTTTTTTAAGCCATGTCATCTCTCTATTATATTTTGTATGTTTTTTCAAAAAAAATAAAAACAAAAAATTGACTTTTAACCTATTTTCCAAAATAGGCCGTAATATACTATAACAATACAATAAGTATAGCATTATTATTAATAAATTTGAGAAACTCAAGAATGAAGGATCATGCAAGGTTGAATGGCCAAAACTTATCCAACTTACTGAATAACCCAACTCCAGATTTACGGTAGCATAGTTTTTTGTCAAAATCTAACTATAGTGAACCACGTGAAAGAAAAAGATTGAGACTTATAAATTAAATTTTTACAAAATTGCGGTACTTGAATTGTGAGGTTTTACTCACTACCAAAAAAAAAATTATGAGGTCTTACCATTTCTCTCACCCTTTGATGAAATAAAAAGTTTGAGGGGTTGTTTGGAAACAGGATTTTTTAGTGACTTTTTAGATTTTATTATTTTTTTTAGTTTTCTAAATTCAGTTTTTTGAAAATTAAATTTTTTATTTTTCGTATTTTTTTGTTTTTAGTGAATATTTTTAAAATTTTAATTTTTTAAAAAACTTTTTTAGATGCACTTTACTTAGATGTATCTAAAAAATAAAATATTTGTGAAAAAATATTTTTAAAAAATAATAAATGCACAAAAATATGAAAAATATATTGAATTTTTATATATATATTTTTTGTATTTTTGGTATTTAGTGAATTTTTTAAAGATTTTTTTTACAAAAATTATACTTTTTAAGTGTATTTATGTTAAGTGTGTCTAAAAATTTAAAAGACATACAAAAAATAGAGTGAATGGAAATGAATCTATGACTTTTTTTTTAATATTTATTGATTTTTTGACTTTTTAACAATTTTTTAGAGTTATGCTAGAGATAATCTATTAAATTTTTTACCAAATCTTTTACATGAATATGAGATTCACATATATATAGATTTGTGTGGGTTTAACATTAATGTGAGAGATTTTAATAAAAAATTTAATAAATTATTTATACTTCATAGCATTTTCTATTATTATAACATTACTCATGAGTGCTTTTGTGTAGAAACATACTATGATCATGTTTGGTAGAGCTGTGAGAAAGTGATTATAGATTATATAACTTAACAGATTATAGCTTATAGCTGTGAGTATAAGCTGGTAACCTGTTTGGTGTAGTTGTGGGATTATAGATTTAAGCAGCAGAGTAGTGTTTGGTAAATATGCTGTAAAATAACTTTTTGCTGTGTAATTGTCATTTTTGCCCTTATGAACAAAAAATTTGTAATTTTTGTGATTTTCTTCTCTTTAAATTTTGAAAAAAGTATTTCATTAATGGAAGTTGATTAATTAGTACCTAATTTGGTACATTCCTCAATTTTTATTTATTTATTTATTTTTTTTGTAATAATATTGAGTTGACAAGGAAACAAAAAAATGTCATTGCAATAAAAATACAATAAATTACTATTAAGAAAAATAAAACTTCATAGATATTTACAGAACTTCTAATTTTGTCTGCAAATTGACATACAAATATTATGTCTCATCACTTCCATTTCGTTGTCATCACATGCAACATCATTTCCATGGCGTGCTTGTTGAGACGAAGATCCTTTCTTTTCATTAGGCACATAATCTGTGAATCTATCATAAGAGTCAAATGGAATATCGCGGAACTTACTTCGTCGGATAAAATTATGAATTGCCATTGTTGCATAAACAAGTTTGACTTGGGTCGGCCACTTGTAATTTGGTGGGATATCCTTTATCATCGGCCATCTTACTTTCCAAACTCCAAACGTTCTTTCTATTACACTTAGCACAAAAACACCTAATTTAAAAGCCACCTACAATCATTTGAAAAGTAATGCAACTGACAGAACAATACAAATTGTGAGCAAACCCACAACAAGCTGCTTCATGAATGTTAAGGATTGCTCAAGCATTTGGTTCTTGACTTTTAGTCCTACAATCTCGATGTTTTGATTTTGATAAAGATTTGCCTCGTTCCTTTGCCTCTCTAACATCATCATAGATTTTGGGGTACATCATCTTCAAAATTGACAATTTCTCTTGTCACAAATGACATATAGTCTTCCTTTTGATGGCTTGTCCGATTCGATAACCCTTATGACAGCTCTTACACCACACTCACATTTCAAAGCCTCATACCTCAAGTCCAATGTCTCAGTACCGGAATAATAGTTACTAGAGGATAACATGCCTCTGCATTAATTAGGATGAATTCCCAGAATAAATTCCCAGATTCAACTCGTTAGTTATCAAAAATGTATGTTTAATACAAGGCAGGGGGGCTAAACCACATCCATCCTATTGTTTATATGTTAGGATCAATGGTTGTTGATGTAGTAAATGTATGTGATGGTATTAGATGTGAAATGCTATTAGATGTGAACTACGGTTTGTCCTCAAGGTTGGTTCATGTGAAATGCTTCCAAGGAACAACAATAGATGCTCTCAAGGTTGGTTCCCGAAGGCTATTTTCTTCAACCAAAAAGGAAAAAATGAGGTTATTTTTAGCATTGAAGAGTTTTTTTATGTAAATGGAGAGGGTTTGGAGCCACAATATGAATTTCTTCAAATTTGTCCGAATTGTTGGAGAGATCAAATTTGTTACTTCAGTTATGGTTAAATGACTTATTTCTGAATTTTTAAATTTCTTTTGATATTGTTTAATTTTGGATTCTTCTAGATTAGAATGTCTTAAAAATAAAAATTAAACAAAAATACACCAAATTTTAATAAAGTTCACTAAAGATGACAATAAAAAATAAAGAAAATTGACCTTTAATGTGTTTTGTAATTTCATTTTTATTATAACCATCTTGTATGTGTCACATAGCCTTCTCGAATTAGCCAAGTTATACCTTCAAGGCCTAAAATGCCACAATGTTGTGCATATACTGCACTCCAATTCATAAAATTTCCCAATGCTCATTGCACAAAATGTTGTCTTTCATGAACACACAAAGAATACTAACAAGGTTCATCAAAATGGAATCATAAACACAGTTTCAATTCACACATAAAACAAAGAAAGAATAGTATCACAGATTAACAATCTATCATAGAACAATAATCAAGCAGTTTTAGTAATAAGTTGATCCTAATAGTCTTTTCAGGATTGTATCACAGATTAACAATCTACAAAAAAAATAGTAACAAACTTCATGAAGCAAACTCAATAGTAACAATATTATTTTCAGATATGTTAATCTTTACCATAAAGCAAACTCAATAGTAAAAATAGTAACAAAAATAGTGAAGGTTGGACAAACTTCACAACAATAGTAACAAATTCATCAAACTTCACAACAATAGTTACATTTGAACTCATCAAACTCATCAATACTATTTTCAGATATGTTAATCTTTACCATAAAGCAAACTCAATAGTAAAAATAGTAACAAAAATAGTGAAGGTTGGACAAACTTCACAACAATAGTAACAAATTCATCAAACTTCACAACAATAGTTACATTTGAACTCATCAAACTCATCAATACTATTTTCAGATATGTTAATCTTTACCATAAAGCAAACTCAATAGTAAAAATAGTAACAAAAATAGTGAAGGTTGGACAAACTTCACAACAATAGTAACAAATTCATCAAACTTCACAACAATAGTTACATTTGAACTCATCAAACTCATCAATACTATTTTCAGATATGTTAATCTTTACCATAAAGCAAACTCAATAGTAAAAATAGTAACAAAAATAGTGAAGGTTGGACAAACTTCACAACAATAGTAACAAATTCATCAAACTTCACAACAATTTTTGGTGCAGATCAACGGAAACAAGGACGGAAGGAGTTCGATCGGCTGATCTTGGAGATGTTGAGGAGTTCGATCAGCTGTGTTGGAGATGTGGAGGAGTTCGATCGGCTGTTGTGGAGGATCGTCTTCAGTGTCGCCAAGAGAGGAAATGAGAAGAGGAGTGTGAGGAGAGGAGCAGGCTAGGGCAACAAGAGGGTTTATATAGTGGCCATTTTGTAATTGTTGAAATTTTGGAGGGGCATTTTAGTCATTTCATGACCCATGAACAGCTGCGCGCTTAAGCTATAAGTCCATAAGCATGCTCGGAGCAACTTCTACAAATGAGTTGAAAATAGCTTTTTTAAAGCTATAATTTGATCAATTAAGTTGTACCAAACACAACCAAATAGCTTAAATTAAGTCAAAAGCTAAAATAAGTTACTTTTAAGTTTTACCAAACAGGGCCTATACATAAATGGGGAGTGTTACTATATACACATTCCCAAAGTGCTTTTCCTATGGTATGGAACTAAAATTTTAGACTCAAATGGTTTGCGTTTCCTATGTATGGATCTAAAATTTCAGTTTTAATGGTTTATAACTTTGTTCAATTTGAGTTGTGTCGTTGAAAATATTCAAAAAATTATATTTTATTAATAAATAATACAAAGAAAATGAGATACAAATAGATTAGGTTGAGACACAAATATTTCATTTTCTTTAAGGAGATCAAACCCACTGCAGTAGGAAGAACCCAAATACCGATACATCAGTTATTAAACTAT